TAATTTATAGTTGTAAAACTTTTTATAATATTTAACCATTTTGAAAACTTCAGAGAAAACAATTATTCTTTTGAATTGAAACTAACTTTATGTGTGTGATATTGAGTGGGGTACAAAAGTTCCCGCTGAGGATGTTGTACTAAAACACAGACTCTCTCGTGAAGATTTGATAAATGGAATCGCTGTAACAGATGGCAAACAGGACCATGAAGGTAAGCTTGAGGGGTACAATAGCCACTCCACCTTAGTGACAGTACACCAATTCCCATACAGTTGCCAATCGACTTAAAGAACAATTCAACAACTATTTACATTAAAGAACGCTATGATTATTATAAACTTACAATCAAGTGAAAGCGTTTGGAAAATCATAGGTTAAGATAGAGGATTAATCTGTCTCCCCGATTTTATTCAATTGGACTTTTTTTGCTTCGAGTGTTTAGTTTGATCAACTAATCATAAATGTACTATTCAAAGATTGAAGAAATAAGTTTTCAATGACAGCCGGTGAGTGAAGTAATAATATTTTAATAGAGCAATACCTCGCATTTTATTTCAATACAAAAGAGGAAATTCTTTATGTTTCAATAGAAAACTTCTGATTTTTAACACACAGGGATACAGTCTGGCTGTATTGATCTATTTAATGTTACAGAATAAATTGTAATATCTTCTGCAGTCAATATCAAAGCTGAATATTTAATGATTATGTTGAGTTGAAAAGTGCAAAGTTTTCTATGGGAGTATAGAAACGTGTGGCAGACATGGTCATGTGGCGCCATGTCCCCTACCCCCTAGGATCCGACCCATGCTTCAGTGGATCCTGAGGAGATATCACTGCTACCCAGACCCTTTATGAAATTATTGATTTTTACTTTGGAAATCAATCAATCAATCAACCAATCAACCAACCAATCAACAACCAATTAAATAAAGCCATCTAAAAACTCAAACATTACATATTGTGAAAGTGGGTTGTTCTAATGATTATTTGGATAATTTGTTAGAGAAAACCAAATTAAAATACATTGAAATGAATTACCAAGAGAGGTGTTTATACAATCATACGCTTTAATGACTTCATCTTAAGATCTCCACATTCATCTCTTATGTTCCATGTTGTTGATTCCAACATGAATCCTTAGTTTTCAACTCAACTAGAATGAAAGAGATAAAACATGCCGAGTACGTACATATTTATTTTACTGTAAAAATATTAACTGGTTGATTAAGCACTGGAGAATTTGGACCTGGGGTAGGGTACTTGTGATATGCGATACCCCAATGATCACCTTTATAAGGATAATTGACACCTTTTATGACAAAAAACACACACACTCAAACAGAACAAGGAAACTTTTCATGTTTGTTTACTTTATTTTTTTACTTTTTCATGAATATGTTGTTCTACCGTGGGCTAGTGATATTTGATATAGGTCTTCTTTGTTGGGGTTCTTATTGCCTACCCTAGTATTGATAACATTTTATCATTCAACTGCATTTAATCAAACAGCATCGGGTGGTCTGAATCAGCAATATTACACATCATTACAGTCTATAATTGAAATTTTACACAATTTTAATTTTTTGATCAGAAATAAACTCAAAAAGTATATTAATTTTTCTGATAGCATTTTCTGTAACATTTTTGTTTGTTTGCTAAGCTTCCACCAGTAAGTGAATATAGTTCCTCCAGTAGCTGAATGTAGTCTCTAGAGTCGTTGAATACAGTCCCTACAATCAATGATGACGTCCCTACAGTCTATAATATAGTCCCAACAAGTTGATGAATGTAGTCCCTATATTCGCTGAAGATAATAGGCACTAATCAAGCAAAGATGGTTTTGTTGGGACATGTACATGTAATGTCATGAACCTACAGTATATGACAAATCTCAGAAACATTTTCAAGATGCAACAATCCATAAAAAAACAACTTAAGAACTACAGCTTATCTTTCCCATTTTGAAGTAAGCATGGATTTATTTGCAACACATTGAAATTGCATTGAAAACACATTGATATTGCATTGAAAAAATATAACTTTATCATTGAGTTTAATTTTGTGTTTAATTACAGGTATATCATTTAGTTCAACTTGGTGTTTAATTACAGGTATATCATTGGTCCCAGTATGAATGTAGCTAGACCAAGTTAATTATTGCTATCTTCAAAGTCAAGCCGAAGTTCGCCTCCTCTATGTTATACCAATTATCCTTCCCTGATTGTCTAATTGGGTAGGGAGACATGTTGTGTGAAATGAAAGTTTGGGCAATGATTCGTAAAAGGGCCCACATCTGACCGAGGATACACACCTCAATGTGTTTGTTGTCCTTACGTTTCATTAGATAGACACAAACAACACATAAATGTTTGTCAAAAAAGTTGAGTTCTCACGACCGTGTTATTTTTTGATGTGTATTTTCGTATATGTCCCCCGCTATGCATAATGATGTGTTATTTGTTAATTGTGTTTATATTATGTTTTCTTTAATTAGTTTTCTTTATGAGAGGAATGGCTGAAGGCGTGATGACTGCGTGTCCTGTATCATTGTATCATTGTACTGCATCGACTAGAATAATATAAAAAGTATTATTTCGCAAAATATCGTTCTACTTGAGTTCGGAGAACCAAAATTAACACTCTGCAACTTGAATTCACCTAATTGATTTTTGATATTTTTATTAACCTCACAATATATGAATACAAATATTATTTAGCTAATTATTTGCTTATGTAAATGACATTCTTAAGATTCCATGTTTGTAATGTTACATCTGCTACAACTTCGTAGAATATTAAGGATCTTCATTTTATTAAAATAAATCCATGGGACCGAACCAGGACTATCGGGAAAAATCTTTTTACACGTGCATTGTGTTTTTGAAGGCTCTTGAGGACTCTCATTAGGAAGAGGCTTAGAGGGAATATGTTCTTTGTTCAGTCTTTGGGGTGGGCTTTCCAAGCACCTGATCGGATGTCCGTAAACATCTATGCCCTGATACCAACTTCATTCACCTTATAAGTGTCCCCTGTATTGTACTTTATATTGCCACTTATTCTTCTAGTCAAAACTAATTGATACAGTTTAGCTGGACATCAACAATAATTTATTTAATAATTATCCTCTCGTTCAGGAACTAAGTGGGGATTGAACCTTTTGGAACAATCAGCTAAAGAAATGGCAAGTGTTCAATTTTGATATTTCTGAGGGCTATTTTGTTGAATATATCACATTACAATTGTCTTAAAGGGCAGGTGCCCCTTGAATAGAGGCCCCAGTTGATGGAACCTGTGATACTTTGCTGTCCATTCACATGTGGCTCTGTGTTGCAAACAATGCCAAACATAACAGTTTTCCAACTTGAAAACCAAAAGCCCCCCAGTGAGTCTAGCTACTCAATTTCTGGCAAAATACTGAAAAGGGACTCAATTATCTTTGAGTTTGAACGTTTCATTTTGAGAAACTAATTAAAGGTAGGATTTTCTCTACGGGTGAAAATGATGAAGTGTGACACAGAACATTTATAAGAGTATTTGTGGTGAGATACTTAGATACTTCAACTAATGAATATATCTGAATTAAAATGGTATAACCACAATTACCAGAGTCTCAAAATGGCACACAATGGTATAATTTCAAATTCTAAAAACCCATATTTCAAGAAAAGAAAGCATAGATAACAAACATATATGGACATTTTTTTAAATTAACATACAGTATTCTAAAGCACAAAAAAATTAAACCAAACATTTATAATATGATAATTTTGTTGTCATCTACTAATTTAATAATATCTATATACTGTACTCAAACATATGATACACACAAAATACCTGCAACCAGCTTAACTTCATAAATTAAAAGAAAATGGTTCCAGTAATAGAGCCATATGGTTTCTCCATGTTACTCCATTTGTGCCTGTCTGTCAAGAAATAAAATTGCTTCAATTACATTCACAGCAAGGAAAGCAAACCTAACATAACTCTGATTAGAGTGTAACACAAACATTTATAAACAACCAACCACATATCTCAGCTAACAACATTTCATATCACATGTGTAACTAGCTCTTAGGCTAATGAATAAGTCATGGAGGAAATGATGTTCCTTACCCTTTTGAGAGAAAAACACATGGTTTAAGATCACAGTTGTATAAATACTGACCTCCTCCTACTCATACTCCCGTGGATTTGGGGTAAGTGTGTGTAACTATTTTTTGTAAACCATGCGTGACATACCTTACTCATACAGTGCTGCCCTCTTTTAAATTAACCAAGAATAGTTAGAATATTTTGAAGAATCAATTTAGTTAGTAAACAAAATACATGTAGATGCATTACTTTACAAAGGCTTTGTTATTTATTGCTTTAACCTTGTATACAAAGCTTTGTTTTGATTGGGGAGAAATTTCTGGTATTAATACTAAAACCAGGTGTAGGACCTGTCAACAAAAGTTCACAGCCAGTTGGTGTTTGTTTCCAAGTTGCTATAAAAATACTCAAACCAATTTGTCTATATCTGTTTTATATATCATAGTTGAGTGACAGTCTTTTTCCAAATATCTTGTTCATTATTAGCATCTCTGATTTATCTTACAGATTTAATTTGGTTTAGCAAAAGAGGCAAATATTTGAAGAACACCCCAGTAAAGCATATTTAAATTATAACTGAGATCTATGAATTGCACCTCAGCTCTAAAAATCATCTTCCAAATACATCTAAAAATAGAATATATAATTCATGATACTCATCAGTTCAATGTTATATCAGTCATAATATGTAATTCATGAAGGCGATTAGTTCAGTGCTGTATTAGTCAATAGAGCAAGGCATAATAGTTCAAGATAAAGCAAGTGCAGACAATGAACTCCTCACATACAAGAAAATACTCTGCTACTCTTTGATTTTGCTCTTTGTTATTATGAATGCAAATTCTACCTCAAAATTAAACACATGTAATAGAGCTGAATGATTTGATGTTTTTTATATTTACAGGGTGTCCTGAATATTGTTGACTCTTCAAAAAGGGTGCTTCTACAGGGTGTCCATGAACTCTATGACCAGCAACCAACAACAGAGTGGGAACCAGAGGAATCAAGGACCAACACAGTAGTATTTATAGGTGAGATCGAATTTATTTTTTCAAATTGACTTAATTTTACAATGTTGATACATTGATCATTGACAAGTATAAGATTAAACTTGATACATTATGTTTAGTAATTTGAATTCTAGATGTATAATGTGCTGAAAAATAACATATAAAAAGTGCAACACAAATTCCATAAAGTCTAATGTGTTGAAAAGAATCTTGGTATATATTGCTATTTGAAAGACTAGATAAAAGCAGAATTGCTACCATATGGTATAGTTTATACTAAAGGTATCATCAACATAGCTCACTTTCCATTATTTATACCATTTATTTGAACACAGTTGATGTTAAACTGTTACTTTTCCCAAAATTGTTTTGCCAAATAAGCAAACATTTTAGTTTGTTTTATTATGTCTGTCAGGAGAACAAGCCAAAAATGGTTTAGTTACCCAGTGTGGAACTCTTCAACAGGAGGGGGCATATATAAGATAACATTCATACTTGTTCGGCCTACTGGCTTTTAGTCATAGATATTTGAAATCGTAGGTTTGATTCTATATTGATTGATTATTTATTTTTTCAAAGTTCCAACATTTGTGATGCAGGAGCCTATAAACCTGCACTCTAGACATCATCCAAACTGAAGGAGATTAAGAAAACACATCTTGTAATAGTGTAAGCCAACGGGGAAGAATTTGTAATTGGTAAAACATTTCATGATTATCCTTGATATTTCAGATTTTTCAAGCATTTTTGCACAAGCTTTTATTTGATATATTATACTAGCCCTAGACATATATTGATGCTTATTAATCAAACTATACAAGGTACCTGGGGCAGGTTATCATACAAGGGTTCAGAATTATTTGACTGATCACCCTGTATAGTTTGATATGTCCCTATTGAGTCAGCTGCTACATACAGGGTGTTAAATGATTGCTATAACTTCCCTTGTCAATCAACCTTGTATATTAAATCAAGATTAAATTGCCAACTTCCACATGTTGGCCTTACCAAGCTTTGATCAGGGAACCTCCAAACAAACTAACCTTGGTTTATTTTAAACCAGCTCTCTCAAAATAAAGCTAATAACTTCAGAGCAATTTTTTCCAATCCAAACACAAACTGAAGAATCCATATGGTTATTCCAAACAAACAGCATGCATTCCGGCAGATTTGTATTCCACTTTAAAATGTTTATTCATATCATATATTTCACTGCAGGTATCAAGCTAGCTAAATTCTATCCACTAGACTTCTCTAAGCTATCAACATGTAAGCTTTCCAGTAAGGAGATGATCTCTAAAGATAACATCAACACCCCAATCTGTCTCATCTCTTTCACATTGAAAAATCTCATATCCTCCACCAACTAACAAATTGATATTGAAAGAAGGGATAAAGAGAGTATTTAGCCATGATAATTTCACTTTGATATTGGGTTTTAAATCAGTAGAAAATTTGATCAAATCTGTTAAATATTTTTGATTACAGATATCGGCCAATTTAATTAGAACAAGGAAAATGTTGAGATTAATATTACTTAATGTAATCAGAAAATTTGAAAATTTCAGTGTTGGTTAAGAATTGCACTTTACTCATAATCAATTAAAAAATAAGTGTAAAGGTAATTTGTACATAAATAAGATGAGCATGTGGTCAAGAAGGGTGTCCATTAGAGACAAGTGTTCACTGGAGTAAGGTGTTCACTAAGACAGGTTACTGTATGTGCTTTTTGATGATCATCCTTGCCTTGTTCCCACGTTAGTGTCATATTTTCTCTGCAGTAGTCAGTTAAGCTGTTGTTGAGTATGCTGTGTCAGTCGTATTCGTGGAGCCACACCCTATGGGTCACCTGTGTTTAGAACCCCTGTAGCTCTCTGTGTATGTCGCCTGTGTGGATCCCTACAGGTATCTGATTACAGGTGTATTGCTGGAGCAGATCAACTATAATGATTGATGCTTGATTGTCTTTTCTCATATATTGATTGTTTTGAATAAACCAGTGGATTGTTGATCAAACATAACTTAACAAAACAATTTAAACATATCATGTTTTTCAGCTATTAAAAATGAATCAAGATATATTTGATTGGTTTTTATTGTGGTAAGATCTTATGAATTATGGTGAGAAATTATAAGTATGATTGATTTATTATCCATTGTACACTCTGTCTATCATTAAGAGAGTTATAAACTGTTTGTAAAAATTCAAAATAAAATACAAAATGATGCAGACTCGTAGCTCCTTTTGCCAAGGGTTCTCTTTTCACAAATTTCCAGGGGGGGCTCATATTTGACAACTTGGCTCAAAATCACTTAAAAAGTGCTCAATGGTGAAAAACTGCATGCTTTGAAAGAATATTTGGCTAGGGGGGTTACAGACTATGGGCCTGTGATGTGTGCCCATATGAGTTATTAGTGATTAGGGTCATGCAGGGCTATTTTCAAAAGCAGATTTAACATCATTAGTAAATACATATTGATTCTCAAAGTTCTTGTTTAATCTCAATATTGTCATTACCATTGTGTTCACCTGCTGTATGTGGTGGTTTGAGAGCTTCATCTGGCCAATTAATAGTGGCACAATCAGTTGTATCACCAGGTAGCCCCAACACTTGTCTGAATTCAGCATAGCACACAGTCCTGAGAAAACATCGCTAATCTCCAGTATTACCACACACAACTTGAAATACAAGGGGAAAAATTGTAGGTTCTTGTAGAGATACACTAAATATTTTTTGTCATGACACTTTTTCAAAGTGTTATATTGTCATCATATTGGGCTGATGGGCATATGTCTGTGTGGGTGGGTGGGCCGCCACCACATGAATCTTGTCTTAAATTGACCAATTTTTATACAATCTTATTTTAGAACTCAGTTTTGATGTATTGATATAGTCTTACTGAATATTACAAGAAATCTACATTTCACCCTGGATTACGACAGCCACGGACATCGAGGATACGCTCCACTCGTGTATCTCCAATAGGTACTGATATGTGTGACCACGTCTTATTTGGAAAATTTCTGAAATAAATTGTATAATGTAAACACGGCTCCTTGAAGTCATGTGGCTTGTTTGACCATCTGAAGATACTGATGTAATGTAAATAGGTTTAATTGTAATTGTTTTGCCAGTTGTTTTACAAATAAGATAAAAAAAATGTGCCCTGGGTATACAGTGGTTGTGGTCAGGCTGTCAGATATGCACTATATTCCCCATGTATATGCCAAAGTAGTACCGGCAGTCAGCTTCATGGTTGTGCCATTGGTGTCGTGTCAGAGAAGCAAATACACTATCTTTTTTTTATTTTAAGTGTCAGTCATGCTGTTTCAAATTGAATAATAAAAATTTCTTCTAAAATAAATAAGATTTGATTCACAATTATGTCTGGTTTCTAGTTAAAGCTTAAAAACTAGAAGTACATGCAAAATGGAGATAACACAACAAAAATCCTCAATATCCTCAGACAACAAAAGTCCTCAATTTTGGCATTGATTTTATGTATGAAAGTGAAATTAGGTTTTTGAGCCATGTTGTTGAGTGATATTATAATGATAACCTATGGCGGACACTGTTCATATACTATATAATTACAATCACCATGATTATTATGCATATTACCAAAAGGATATATGTCCCATGTGATGCGTACTTGTTCCCATTGAGTTGAAAGTTAGGCAAGAATAATATCTACCCCATGTTCATCCATGTAGGTAGACCACAATGTCCAGCCACTTTGGCATTTATTATGTCACCACCAAAAGTGGTGACATATTGTTATGGTCTCCGTTTTTTTGCGACGGCGTCCGGCGGTTGGAGGTTGGAGGTTGGCGTCCGGCGGTTGGCGTCTGTAACAATTTCTTACAACTTCCTATAACTTAACAAATACTGTTTAGACTGACTTCAATTTTTTTCTAAATCATCTACATGTTCTCAGAAGTTCAAATCTGACTTTAGATTTGACATTTGACCTTCAATGACCTTCTCAAGGTCAAAAAGGTCTTTTTTCAACTTGCTTCACATTGACTAATTTTTTTTTCAAAATCATCTACATGTTCTCAGAAATTCAAATCTGACTTTAGATTTGACATTTGACCTTCAAATCTGACTTTAGATTTGACATTTGACCTTCAATGACCTTCTCAAGGTCAAAAAAGGTCAAAAAGGTCTGTTTTCAACTTGCTTCAAATTGACTAAATTTTTTTTTCAAAATCATCTACGTGTTCTCAGAAATTCAAATCTGACTTAAGATTTGACATTTGACCTTCAATGACCTTCTCAAGGTCAAAAAAGGTCAAAAAGGTCTGTTTTCAACTTGCTTCAAATTGACTAAAAAAAATTTTCAAAATCATCTACGTGTTCTCAGAAATTCAAATCTGACTTTAGATTTGACTTAAGATTTGACATTTGACCTTCAATGACCTTCTCAAAGTCAAAAAAGGTCAAAAAGGTCTTTTTTCAACTTGCTTCAAATTGACTAAATTTTTTTTTCGAAATCATCTACATGTTCTCAGAAATTCAAATCTGACTTTAGATTTGACATTTGACCTTCAATGACCTTCTCAATGTCAAAAAAGGTCAAAAAGGTATTTTTTCATCTTGCTTCAAATTGACTAAATTTTTTTTTCAAAATCATCTACATGTTCTCAGAAATTCAAATATGACTTTAGATTTGACTTTGGATTTGACATTTGACCTTCAATGACCTTCTCAAGGTCAAAAAAGGTCAAAAAGGTCTTTTTTCAACTTGCTTCAAATTGACTAATTTTTTTTTCAAAATCATCTACATGTTCTCAGAAATTCAAATCTGCCTTTTCGATTTGACATTTGACCTTTAATGACCTTCTCAAGGTCAAAAAAGGTCAAAAAGGTCTGTTTTCAACTTGCTTCAAATTGACTAAATTTTTTTTTCAAAATCATCTACATGTTCTCAGAAATTCAAATATGACTTTAGATTTGACATTTGACCTTCAATGACGTTCTGAAGGTCAAAAAAGGTCAAAAAGGTCTTTTTTCAAC